ATGCTCTTCCAGACTACCCTGTCTTTATGACTTTATATTTTAAGAGACCAACTAATTAGATTCCTATATCTGAATTTCCAGTTATGAAATTATGTTAAGGCAACATGCTTTTCATAAATTGAATGATGAAAGACTGTATGCACTGAATTACTATTATTGCTGCTATTTCTAACATTACATAAATTATCCTTTTATGCTAAAGTTACCTTTTTAGTAACGCATTTCAAAACATTGTACTATTAATAGTATTTCAGTAAGAAATTACATTTTAGAGAAATGTTATGGACAATCTACTTCCTCAAATTATTTCTAATTAGAAAATAATTTTCTAAAGTCTAAAATTAGAAAATAAAATAAACTGACCTTTTTTTTTTTGGCTTGCAGAAAGAGACAAGATGCTAAAATGATACTCTTTCCAGCAATTATAAATATTAATCTGAATGGATTTGAGTCTGCTGAAAACTATGCTTATGTCTACCTCTTACATTAGACATACAGCTCCTCCAAGGCAACTATGGTGCCATCAATCCTTTGAAATCATAACCTTTAACAGTGTCCAGCACACCTAGGCATGCAAATACTTGGTAATTTGTTGAAAACATGGATATACAGGCATGTTCTGAATTCATTGCTTAAAGTAACTTGTTAAATTACTGAAAATGAGTCAAGTAAAATGCACTCTAGATTGGATTGGACAATAAATAATCAACAAAATTCTAAACATAGAGAACAGGTTTCCTACCATAGGCCCAGAGCCAAAACAGAGGAGTCAGGAGATATGAGGAAGATCTAAGAGACAGAAGATTGAAATAAAGTCATTAATTATGTACCACTAACATTAGGGAAATCAGAATTCTTTTATGGATCCATTTCCCAATGTTCTAAATGGAGAACAAAATGCACTGTCTGTCTCCAAATATGATGAAAGAGATGACTGAGAGGACCACATCTTTTTATTATTCCTATATATTACTATAGAGTATGAAATCTAGAAAAATCTTTTCCAAACAATTAGATCTCAATACTAATTTTCATAATATCTTGTAGCAAGTTTCTTCACCTCACAGAAAAATTCCCAATATTTGATTGTTCATTATGGTAATAACAAGAGACTAGGTCACGGATGACGGTTTTTTTTTTTTTTTTTTGGTGAGGAAAATTGGCCCTGAGCTAACAACTCTTGCCAATCCTCCTCTTTTTGCTTGAGGAAGATGGTCCCTGAGCTAACATCTGTGCCAATCTTCCTCTGCTTTGTATATGGGATGCTGCCACAGCATGGATTGATGAGTGGTATGCAGGTCCGCGCCTGGGATCCGAACCGAGAACCATGGGCTGCTTAAGCAGAGCACGAACTTAACCACTATGCTGCCAGGCCGGAACCAGGTCATGCATGACTTTATAAAAGCCAGTAACACGTATGTGTGATATGCCCATTAATCTATTTATACATTCATCATTATTGTAGAAAAATTAGAAGACACAGATAAGCAAGAAGAAAAATGTCACTTAAAATCCCACTCTTGAAAGAGGATCACTGTCAAAAAAATTTTTTTTTTTAGATTTTATTTATTATTTCCCCCCCAAAGCCCCAGTAGATTGTTGTATGTCATAGCTGCACATCCTTCTGGTTGCTGTATGTGGGACCGGCCTCAGCATGGCCGGAGAAGCGGTGTGTCGGTGCGCGCCCGGGATCCGAACCCCGGCCGCCAGCAGCGGAGTGCGCGCACTTAACCGCTAAGCCACGGGGCCAGCCCATTGTCAAAATTTTTGTAAACACTCCTCAACAGTGTTCCATGCAAATATGTTATTTGCTATACATACTATCCTATAATTTGCCTTCCCCTCCATTTACAAATATATCATGAATCTTCGTCAATAAAAATATCTATACTATTTAAAGAGTTGTTAGTATTCTACTGTATGTATGTAACGATTTCTTTACTCTTTCCTATTATTGGAAATTTAGGTTTCCAAGTTTTTATTATAAACAATACTGTGATGAACCACTTCATAGAAACATACATCTTTGTGCACTTATCCAATCAATCCCTCAGAAAATATTCTCAATATACTATGTCAAAGGGTATAAATCTTTTTAAGGCTTTTGATACATATTGCTCACCTGTCCTCAAGAACATTTGTACTGATATATACTCTCACAAACTGTTATGTGAGAATATTCCTTTCCCACATCCATGAAAATTCATATTATTCTTTTTCATTTACACAGGCAGGTAAACAGTATCCTACTATCATTTTAATCAGCATTTGTTACTAATTAAACATTTACATATATTTATTGGCCATTTTAATTTATTTTGCCTGTACAAATTCTTGGTCAATATTATCTATTGGTTGTGCCTTTCTTTATGGATTTGAGAATGCTCTTTGTGAATTAAGGGTACATTAAATTTGTCATGCATGTTGTAATTCATCAGATTGCTTGCCTTTTAACTGTTTATGGTATTTTTGCCACACCAAAATTTAAGGACTTGGGAAAGAAGCAAGGGTGTGCCTCTTTCCACTTTCCTCTTCTGTATTGCTATGTGCAGAACCAGTGGTAATAACAGGATCCTTGTTTTCTTCCTGTCTATAATGGGAAGGATTCCTAGTACTTCTCCACTAGGCATGATGCCTGCTGTTTGAGACAGTAAAATAGGAGGGAAAAAATGGAGGCAAGACATTTCCTTTGCATGATAAAAACTAAATCCAAAAAACAAATTAGGAATCAATTTTTGAATTTTATCAAATGCCTTTTACATCCAAAGAGCTACTGACGTGGTTTTTCTCTTTTGATGTATTCATACAAAATATAATAAACCCTTCTTTGTCACAGTGGATTATTCTCTTAGACACACCCCATGAAGTAGTACATAGAAGTATAAAATGGTAATTAAAAGTGCAGATTGGGAAGTCAGACTACTGGAGGCTAAATCTTGGCTCTGCTGTTTACAAGCTGTGTAACCTAGGACAAGTGACCTAATGTCCCTACACCTTAATTGACTCATGTATAGAATGGGAACCATAATAGTATACCTGCCTCACAGGGCTACTGTGAGGATTAAATGGGATAAGGTGCATGACACCTGGCACGTAATAAGCACCAACAGTAACTACTGTTCTGATTAATATACTGTTGGATTTGATATTAATTTTACTTATGAATTTATCACATATATTCCTAAGTGAAACTAGTTCTTTGTTCTGGCAATCTATGTTAATTTGATACCTGGGTTATGTTAGCTTTTAAAGACATTTGGGAAGCTTTCTTTCTGTTTCTATACTCCGGAAAAATGAAAGTGCTGCTTTTTACAGTCAGCAAAGTAACATACAAAATTTTCAGGCAAGAGGGAAAATAGGCCAATGATGTCACGGAAGGAGTTAGAGAGGAGAGGAGAGCTGCTGTCGAGCTAGCCCCATGGCCACGTAAGTCACAAGCACTCAATATGAGGATGCTGAACTAATACCTAACACGTCGTCTCTCCTACCTCTCTGACGCATCTATCTGAGCAGATGTTAGACGTACAACTAATTAGTGCCCACTTGTTTTAATTACGGCTATACCCAGGGGGAACAAATTTCACAGTGTACTTCCTTTTTTATTACCACTACTACCCCAACATTTTAACTTAATTGAACAAGTGTAACAGAATGACAGAGAAGGAAGGATTCCACAGAGATAATGCTAGATACTTTCTCTTATGAAGATCAGGATTTAAAAGTTGAATATAGATATGAAAACCTCAAGTTTTCAAGAATTACTGGTCAACTGTCCATATTCACTAAATTTCCATCCCTGGGTTCACTCCTATATCACATTAAACTCCTAGGTGGTCATTTGGAGGATTTCTTCATATGGCAAAAAGTAATAATCTAAATACAGGATAAACAAAAGTAGCTAAGTCCTATCTCAAAAGAAAATGCCATAATTTATCTAGATTTGGGAAAACAAGTTCTTGGGAAATTTTTACTCCTGAGACAAATGTAGATCTTTCATTTAAAATATATCATGTTAATGGGGCCAGCCCAGTGGCATAGTGGTTAAGTTCACGTGTTCGCAGGTTCGAATCCTGGCGCCAAACAATGTACCGCTCATCAAGCCATGCTGTAGTGGTGTCTCACATACAAAAAAGAGGAAGATGGGCACAGAAGTTAGCTCAGAGCCATCTTTCTCAGCAAAAAGAGGAAGACTGGCAACAGATGAGGGCCAATCTTCCTCACCAAAAAAATAAATTATACCATATTCAATTTTTAATTACTAACTCATGAGTAACCAATAAAGATTAGGGTTACAATGACTATTAATCATTACCTTTACAGAGAACTTACTATGTGACAAGGAAATGGCACTTCATGTTTATTTCATCACCTAACACTCCCAATCACCCTATGAGGTGAGTATTTCTGTACCCTTCTTTCAACATATGAGGAAATTGAAGCTCAAAAAGGTCAAGTCACTTGGCCCCGATACTGGGGCTAGGATTATAATTTAAATTTCAAAGCCCATACTTTTAATATTTGCAGTCAAATGAGTGACTGAAATTAAATTCAGCCATGCAATTAAATAGAGAACTATATTCTTTCTAACTCTAATACAGTACTTACCACGTGTAGCATTGACGATGGAAAGCTCCTTTTTAAATGTACTATTTTAAAAATAGTAACCATTCTGGAAAATGTATTAAACTGAAAAACAGAGCCTAAAAAAAATGTTACTTCTGAGATTAAGTATCAAATTTGCCATCAAAATAAGTACTAATATTAGTTTACTGGATTATTTGTAGAGGAGTCATAGATAATTTCTAGATTAGACACGCTGACTTCAACTCAGATTTATTCAATTTTTAAAAAGTAACAAAAACACTTTTATTAAACACTTCTATTGAACATGTTTAGGTAAAATATCTTGTTGAGTTTAGGGACCCAAATAGCAGACACCTAGAAATAAAAACAGAAAAATAACTTGAATCTATTTTCATGGTCCACATACAGTGAAATGCAAAGCAAACATAATGGACATCATATATGATATTGGCTTCACAGAAAACATTAGGAGGTTGACACATAGGCATAAACAATTAATCTTAAAAATGTCACTCTATATGATTACAAACAAGACATATATAACAGACTTTATGTCTGATTATATTGTATTTCCAAAAATTATAAATAGTTTAGATACAACCCTATTCTAAATATAAATCCAACAATTTTATGTTACTTTAGCTAAGGAGAAATGAAAATGTGTATGATACTTGGATGTTACTTAAAGCTGACTTTTCATGTTTAGGACATAGTAAATTTGAAAGGAACACTTCAACTGAAGCAATTTTAAAGGTAAAGGTAAAGGTCATGTTTTAGTAAAATGAAATCAGGAAGACTTACTTAAAAGAAGATTGGAAAAAGTCCCCTCAATAGCCATCTTTGTAAAAAATTTATAACCATTCTCAACTGTTTCATTTCAAAAGAAGATTGTCATCTAGGTGAGACGTTTAGAGCAGATATGCAATAGAGTAGATATGCAATGTTTTCCTAGAAAAGGGTCTTTTGTATCAGATCTCAAAGTAAAAAATTTAATTCACTTTTGTTCAGTATTTAGGTCACACCTCAAACTAATCTAATAGATCTTAAGTTCACCAGGTAAAATTGCTAACATGAAAGCTCTTAAAATTCTTGAAGATACTTCTTTCTCCAAAATCTACAAAATAATTAAGTTTTAGGCTTACTTTTTATTTTATCTATGAATACACCTTCAACTATGACATTCAGTTCAGTCCTCTGCATATGTCAGATGATAGAGAAGCATGCTACAAATCCCTTGTATTTCTCTTCCAACTATCTAGCTGTGAAAAGGGAAAAAATAAAATTTTAAAACAAAGTCCCTGAATTGCCCCAAGTATACTTACTTTCATAAACTTACATTTAAAGTAAAACTGTCTCCAAAGTGACCCCTTTTTTCCAAGCATCTCCCAGTCTACCTTAGAAAAAACAGGGTTTTCCAAAACAGGAGAGAATTTGACAGTAGGACATACTGACACAGATATGCTGAATGGTTGGTCACATATAATCTTGCATAGACTTTGTGTTCAGTAAAATGCTCCCAGATGTTGAGCGTAAGATGATGAATTCATAGGAGAGAAATCTTTGAAGACAAATCAGGACATTGGAAAGCAAAAGGTTGAAAATTTTATAACATGTTTCTCTGAAATGGTGCATATTTTTCTCCTCAGAAGAGAAAAAGTGTAAGATTACATTCTCAATTTTGGCTTTTCTTAGGAAGACAATAATGGTCTGTGCCAAAAGATTTCTTATCTTAAAATGAAAATGTATGAGGGAAAGACTCCTTAAAAAATGTATATCAACCATAACTTAATAAAATTTATTCTCTAGTGTGGGGTATGGGCTATCCAATTCTAAAAGTAAAAATCCACAATTTAAATTTTATCTGAAAGGAATCTAAACATGGGTGAGCTTAAACTATCATCTGAATCATTGAATTGGTCATTTTATTCTATTTTAAAGTGTACAGATGTTATTGAAATATATCCAGTTTCAGCTGGGAAGATATAGGTTCAAGGTCTGTTCTTGATTATTCCAGGAACTCTGTTTGCACAGTGTTCATAATTTCAACAAAACCCTCTAGTTCTTCCAAAATGAACTTTTTCAATCTACTGAACAGAATTCATGTCCACACTCTGATGTTGATTTCAGCAGCATTTGTCTCTGTGAAGCACATCAAAATCACTCAAACATCAAATTGCTGATTTGATAGAATGATTTATTTTCCCATTACAGGAAAGTCATGAGTGACTTGTTCTGAGGTATGTTTTTGAGCTATGAAGGACATCTATTAGAAAGCTCCATACTTGAAGATTTGTCTTCAGGTGATAACATTTTATGGCTGGACAGTCTCTGCAGGTACCAGATTCCCTGTTGTATCCAACTGCATACATTTACACGTGCACGCAGAAACAGGACACTCTGCATGGTCCCTAAAAAAACAGGTCAAGTAACAGTTAAAAATCTAAATTATACATATATACATACATTTATTTATCTATATACCTATCAATACCTATAATGCAATTTTTCAAAATGGCATTTGGAAAAATACAGGAATTAAAACCCAAAAAGTATTAAAAGCATTAAATTGGAAATGACTGCCAAGCTGAACTTGGGGAGAAAGCTACTGAAAAATGAATAGCTTTATATCCTAAATACATAATGAGATATCTCGTTTACAGTTGTGAAGGTGACAGGGATGTGCTCAGAGTTTAAATTAAAGCCAATGTGACAAATTGGGTGTAAAAATTACAGCAATGAGGAGGACAGGGCACTGGCACTGTTCAAAGTAAAAGCTAAATACGGTCTTGAGAGGCGCCATTGCATGAGGTGTTTACTTACTACATAACAAGCTTATTTAGAAGATAACTGATGTAGTAGTTTGATATGTACTCTATCATTTAATTTATAATTCAATTATCTATTACATATGATAGAACATTTAGTCAGTTGTAAAAAACATAAACATATCCTTTCCCCAAAGAAATAAAATAGTTAAATAATGCTATAAAACATTTAACTCATACATAATATTTAAACTATTTCTTATATAAGTATTAACTTTATAGTTTAAGATTACATAGGATATCTAATGATAGAAATGTTGACACCACTTCTGTTAACTCAAGTGACAGTATAAAAGAAATTCATCCTTTGGTTGTATAAACCTGAACTATTTATTTTTTTATTCTTTTTTTTTTTTTAATTTTTATTTATTCATTTATTTTTGTGAGGAGATCGGCCCTGTGCTAACATCTGCCAATCTTCCTGGTTTTTTTTTGCTGAGGAAGACTGGCCCTGGGCTAACATCTGTGCCCATCTTCCTCCACTTTATATGGGACACCGCCACAGCATGGCCTGACAAGCCCTGTGCTAACATCCGCCAATCTTCCTGGTTTTTTTTGCTGAGGAAGACTGGCCCTGGGCTAACATCTGTGCCCATCTTCCTCCACTTTATATGGGACACCGCCACAGCATGGCCTGACAAGCAGTGCGTCGGTGTGTGCCCGGGATCCGAACCTGCGAACCCTGGGCCACCGCAGCGGAGCGCGTGCACTTAACCGCTTGCGCCACCAGGCCGGCCCCTAAACCTGAACTATTTAAAAGGCCATCTGTTTTATCTCCTCTAACTCTAAGCCTGTTGAAGAAGGAATGTGATTACCTGAACCAACTAAGCATATGTCCAGCATGCCCACCGTGTCTGCAATTGTGACACCATGTAAACCAGTTGTTAAATTGAGCTAATTTTTTGTCCTTGCTCAAGTCTACTTTTTCATCTGATTTGGATCCTCCTATGGGTCAAAGAAAATGATCTTCATTAACCATATCACAATATTTTATTCAAAGTTTCTCAAAATGTATTTCTAAAACTATGTCAAAATACAAATCACACATCATATTGAAATAGCAATTTTAATGCTAGGATTTAGTTTAGATTAAAAAAATACCACATAATTGGAGTTTCTTTACACTTTTACTAGCCAATAAAAAAATAGAAAAATATAAATTATCAAACCCACTAAGAAGCAATCTGAATTAACAATTTCAGAAAAACAAACAGTGGTTTAAAATCTTTCCCACAAAGAAAACACCAAATACAGTTTACAGATGAGTTCTACCAAACATTGAAGGAACAAGTGATTTTCATCTATACAAACTCTTCCAAACAATAGGAAAAAAAGAAGGGAAATTCCCCAACGCACTCACAACATTGGTATAATTTTGCTAACAAAACCAGATAAAGATAATATGACAAAGGAAGATGGCCAATCTCCCTCCTGAACAGACATAAAAATCCTAAGTAAAAAAACATTAGCAAACAGTATGATTTAGCAATTCTACTTCTAGGCAAATACACTAGAGAAATTTTTGCACATTCTAAAAGGAGACATATGCAGGAATGTTCATAGCAGCATTGCTTATAATAGTAAAAATCGGGAAACAACCAGTGTCCATCAAGAGTAGAGTGGAAAAACTGTTACAGTCATGAATGAAACACTAAAGAGTAATAAAATGAATAAACTACAGCTACATTTATCCACATAATTGAAACTAAAAAAAAAAACCCAAACCTTCAAAGGTTTGAGCAAAAACGGCAAGTTAAAGGAGATATTCCATATGATTCATTTATATAGAATTTAAAGCACAGACAAAACTAACATGTGATAAAACTATACCCAGACAGGCAAGAGACTGAATAACATACAATTTAGGCCAGTGGTTACCTCTGGGGAGGAGGAAAGAGGTGTAACTAGGCAGGGAGAAATGATCAACGGCACTGGAAGACAATGTTATCTTAAGCAGGGTAGGGGACACATTGATGTTTGATTTATCACAGAACATGATATATACATTTCTATCCGTGTTATAGTTCACAGAAAACTGAACAAAAATGTTATTACACATGCACATCTTCACACACACATTTATCTAACTTTCAATGCTCAAAAAATTCTCATTCTATTAATTTTGATCACCTTAATATGTTTTCTTTTCTTCTAAAACAACAAATTAAAATATTTTAAGATGGTATATAACTAGAGACAAGAATAGAAAAATGAGTAAGTAAAAATATTAAGTTCAATTAAGCAATTGTGTACCTATTAAGACATGATGCTATGCCCAAAATTTCATCTGGACCACTGCTGGTCACACTTTAATGACCACATGGATAGTCTTGCAAATAGTTTTTAAAAATACCCATCTGTTTTTGCTAATGATATGAAGGTGAAAGGATGTGTAGGTGTTGCAAGGATTTAAAATGTAAATACACTGAAATTCTTCCTAAAACCTTCATGAAAACAATTAACAATGAACAAGGGAAAAGAGGGAAGAGAAAATATAGACCTTTTAAAGATAAACTATTTTAGAGGGGCCGGTCCCGTGGTGTAGCAGTTAAGTGCATGTGGTCTGCTGCTGGCGGCCTGGGTTCGGATCCCGGGTGTGCACCAACACACCGCTTGTCAGGCCATGCTGTGGTGGCATCCTATATAAAGCAGAGGAAGATGGGCATGGATGTTAGCTCAGGGCCAGTCTTCCTCAGCAAAAAGAGGAGGACTGGCATGGATGTTAGCTCAGGGCTGATCTTCCTCACTCACACACACACACACACACACTAAATAAATAAATAAATATTAAAAAAAAAAAAAGATAAACTATTTTATACCTTTGTGTATAGCTCTCCTAAGCGATTTTCACTTTGGTTTTGTAACTTCTAATACACACAGAAAACAGAGTGAATCCAGAACAAACTAATCCTTGTTTCTCTGATGAAGCTGAAAATATTAAGGTCTACCTCATGACCATGAGAAAAGGTTTTTTAAGATGAAACAGCTTTAAATTTAAAAAGATTTATAGTGAATTATGAGGATAAGTGCTACAGAATAGTTGAAGAAAACTAGAGTTTCACCTAGGCGCTAACTAATAATGATAATAAAAGAAGAGTAAGAAGGATACTAACTTTAAAAAATGTATTACATCTAGAAGTTAAGCCCTATAAGGTCCTGTTTTCTTTTGGAACTCAGATTCTGCTGTTTTTACACACCAAAAAAGAATATGTTTATTATTTTGTAATTACCTCAGCTCAGCAATGCCTTTAAAAATCACATTCAGGCTCCCCTAATTTTCCTACACTATTTCCTACCAAGTCTACTTCCTCAGCCCTTGTCACACTGATACACTTGCTGGTTCCTATACACTCTCTGTACTTATCATACTCACCAATCTTTTGCCCTAGTTCATGCTTTTGATACTGTCTACAATCTAGAAAGGCTTCCCTAAAATCTTCGTGTATTTAAATCTATGAAACTTTAAAGGACCAGATTAAATGGCATCTTCTTTCTGAAGTTTTCCAGATATCCTTCAAATAGAAGTAATGTTTCTGTCTTTCAGAATTCCTAACACTTTCCTTATATAAATCCCTTATTCACCTCAGGGAGCTAAATGTGTTACAGAATTCGTAATGTTTTGAGATTTAAAAAAAAATAATAAGCAAATATCATATAACACCTCCAGGAAAGTCTGAGGCAGCATTCTGTAATCAAACACATCACTATTTCTGCAGTGAAACATATGAATATTCACAAATAAGAGAAATAAAGACTTGAATAGCCTCATGTCACTTCTGAAAGGGTTTTTTTTTTTGGCCAAATGAGATTATTGTAAATTCATTTAAAAAAAATTGGATTTTCAGATCTTTTTAGAGATTTTGGAATGACAGATAAAGGATTCTGGGCCAGTATTTATTTTCTACAACATATCATTTCTTATTTTATATTAGTTATCCACGCTCATTGTACACCATAAGCTCCACAAGCATCTTTGATTCGTCTCAGCACATCAGCCTTATCTTAATGGATTAAACAAGTGCTCAAATATATGTTATATAAAGAAATTATTTCTGAAGCAAATTTAGAGAAATATTTCTGAAGCAAATATGAAAAAACATTAAGATCTGATAAATCTGAGTGTTGAATCTTCATTAAATTAATAGTCTCCAGGAGAGTGACGTCAGCAACATGGCAGAGTGAGTTGTTCCCTTTGTCTCTCCCCTCTAAGATACAACTAAATGGACATTCATTAACCAACAGAGGATTCCCTACACAGTATAACAGGACTTCTGAGAGACCCACACAGCTATACATCTGAAGGTGGGTGGACTGGCTCCCTGGGAAGCAGTGGAATTAGGTGAGCAGACCTCTCCCCCTTCCTTGTGGCAGTGATCCAGGTCATGGATCCTCACACAGCAGCCGGCATGACCATAAGAGGAGGCGGGGGCAGCCTGGCCCACGCATGAATGCTTTAGGAGTGGCAGCCCGGCCTGCAGGTGTGCCCACCATGCTGTGGCGACCCTGTGCATGGGAACGCTCCCCACCCAGTGACAGCAGCTCAGCCCCCTCGCTTGGGAGCCCCATACACCAGCTCTACCAAACTGCCAGGAGCGCAGTGCCGGACGATGCAAAAGAAAGCGCTCCCCCCACCTAGCGCAGCAGCTCAGTTGGTCCCCTGCCCAGGGGAGCAACCCTGCCCACACAAGAGCAACCCACTCACCAAGCACAGAGGCCCCGCCTGTACATGCGTAATCCACCAAGTGGCTGCGGCCAGCCCGTGCAAACGCAGAGCAGCCCCACTGGCACAACTTCTAGCAGATGGGGCGGGATTAGAAAACACAGCTCCTACCCCTCCCCGCCGGCGGTGGCAGGTGGAATCTGCGACCTAATACTACCACAAATGCACCAGCAAAGGATCAATTCATCAAAACCGTGAAGAACTACACTTCAGAGCAGAAGGAAAATGACAAGTCTTCAGAAAACAATCCTGATGTCACAGTAATTTACAATCTAAATGACAGAGAATTCAAAATAGTTGTCATAAGGAAACTCAATGAGTTATAAGAAAACTCAGACAGTTCATGAGCTCAGGAATACAATTAATGAGAAGAAGGAATACTTCACCAAAGAGACTAAAGCCCTTAAAAAAATCTATACAGACATTCTGGATATGAAGAACAATTAATGAGATAAAAAATAATCTAGAAACCATAAAAAATAGAGCTAACCTTATGGAGGAGAGAATAAATGCCCTAGAAGTGCAGCAAGGCAAAAGGAACTCCTACAAAGAAAACTTACAAAGGAACCCCTATCAGGCTTTCAGCAGATTTCTCAGCAGAAACCTTACAGGGTAGGAGAGAATGGAATGATATATTCAAAATATTGAAAGACAAAAACTTTCAGCCAAGAATACTCTATCCAGTGAAACTATCCTTCAGATACAATGGAGAAATAAAAGCTTTCCTAGATAAACAAAAGCTGAGGGAGTTCGGGAGTTCATCGCCACTAGACCTGCCTTACAAGAAATGATGAAGGAAGCACTCCTACCTGAAACAAAAAGGCAGAGGTTTACAAAGCTTTGAGCAAGGAGATAACTAGACAGACAAAATCAGAAAATTGCAGCTCTCCAACAGAACAAGTTAGCAAACAACTATAACATAAAAGATAAAGGGAAGGAAACCACCAAAAATAACTATATTACTAATTACTATAAACACTTCAATTTAGTCACAAACTCACAACACAAAAAAGAATAATTTATGACAACAATAACTCAGAAGGGGAGGAGAAAGGGATGGAACCTGCTTAGGCTAACGGAGATGAGAAGCTATCAGAAAATGGACTATCTCATCTATGAGATCTTTTATAAAAACCTCATGGTAACCAGTAAACAAAAAATCAGAGCAGAGCCACAATCATAAATAAGAGAAAACTGAGAAAACCACCACAGAAAACCACCAACTGAAAAGTCCAGGACCAGATGGCTTCTCTGGAGACTCCTACCAAACATTCAAAGAAGATTTAATACCTATCCTTCTCAAACTATTCCAAAAAAAGTACGAAAATGGAATGCTTTCTAACTCTTTCTGTGAGGCCAACATCACCCTGATACCAAAACCAGACAAGGACAACACAGAGAAGGAAAATTACAGGCCAATATCGCTGATGAACACAGATGCAAAAATCCTCAACACAATATTGGCAAATCAAATACAGCAATACATTAAAAGAATCATACACCGTGATCAAGTGGGATTCATATTAGGGATGCAGGGATGGTTCAACATCTGCAAATCAATCAATGTGATACACCACATTAACAAAAAGAGGAGTAAATATCACATGATCATCTCAATAGACACTGAAAAGGCATGTGAGAAGATCCAACATCCTTTTATGATGAAAACTCTCAATAAAATGGGTATAGAAGGAAAGTACCTCAACATAATAAAGGCCATATATGACAAACCCATAGCCAATATCTTACTTAGTGAAAAACTGAAAGCCACCCCTCTGAAAACAGGAACAAGACAAGGATGCCCACTCTCGCCACTACTATTCAACACAGTACTGGAGGTTTTGGCCAGAGCAACTAGGCAAGGAAAAGAAATACAAGGTATCCAAATTGGAAAGGGAGAAGAGAAACTCTTGCTGTTTGCGGATGACATGATTCTATATACAGAAACCCCTAAAGAATCCACCACAAAACTATCAGAAATAATCAACAACTACAGCAAAGGTTCAGGGTACAAAATCAACTTACAAAAACCAGTTGCATTTCTACACTCTAATAATGAACTAACAGAAGGAGAACTCAAGAATACAATCCCATTTACAATCACAACAAAAAGAATCAAAAACCTGGGAACAAATTTAACCAACAAGGTGAAAGACCTACACACTGAAAACTATAAGACATTACTGAAAGAAATCAAAGAAGACATAAAGAAATGGAAAGATATTCCATGCACATGGATTGGAAGAATAAACACAGTTAAAATGTCCATATTACTGAAAGCAATCTACAGATTCAATGCAATCCCAATCAGAATCCCAATGACATTCTTCACAGAAATAGAACAAAGAATCCTAAAATTTATATGAAACAACACAAGACCCCAAATAGCCAAAGGAATTCTGAGAAAAAAGAACAAAGCTGGAGGCATCACGATCCCTGACTTCAAAATACACTACAAAGCTATAGTAACCAAAACAGCACGGTATTGACACAAAAACAGACACACAGATCAATGGAATAGAATTGAAAGCCCAGACATAAAACCACACATCTATGGACAGCTAATCTTTGACAAAGGAGTTAAGAACATACAATGGAATAAGGAAAGTCTCTTCAATAAATGGTGTTGGGAAAACTGGACAGCCACATGCAAAAGAATGAAAGTAGACCATTATCTTACACCATACACAAAAATTAACTCAAAATGGATTCAAGACTTGAATGTAAGACCTGAAACCATAAAACTCCTAGAAGAAAATATAGGCAGTACACTGTTTGACATCAGTCTTAGCAGCATCTTTTCGATGTCTACTCAGGCAGGGGAAACAAAAGAAAAAATAAACAAATGGGACCACATCAGACTAAAGAGCTTCTGCACAGCAAGGAAACCATGAACAAAACGAAAAGACAACCCACCAACTGGGAGAAAATATTTGCACATCATATATCCGACAAGGAGTTAATCTCCAAAATATATAAAGAACTCATACAATTTAACAACAAAAAAAACAACCCAATCAAAAAATGGGCAGAGGATACAAACATTTTTCCAAGGAAGATACACAGATGGCCAACAGGCACATGAAAAAGATGTTAAACATCACTAATTATTAGAGAAGTGCAAATCAAAACTACAATGACATATCACCTTACACCTGTCAGAATGGCTATAATTGCCAAGACAAGAAATAACAAATGTTGGAGAGGACGTGGAGAAAAGGGAACCCTTACACACTGCTGGTGGGAATGCAAACTGGTGAAGCCACTATGGAAAACAGTATGGAGACTCCTCAAAAAATTAAAAATAGAAATACCATACAATCCAGCTATTCCACTACTGGGTATTTATCCAAAGAACATCACATCGACAACACAAAGAGATTTATGCACCCCTATGTTCATTGCAGCATTATTCACAATAGCCAAGACGTGGAAGCAACCCAAGTGCCCATCAACTGATGAATGGATAAAGAAAATGTGGGGTGTGTGTGTGTGTGTGTGTGTGTATCTCTCTCTCTCTCTCTCTCTCTCTACACCCAGTGGCATACTACTCAGCCATAAAAAAAGACAAAATCATCCCATTTGCAACAACATGGATGGACCTTGAGGGTGTTATAAGTGAAATAAGCCAGACAGAGAAAGACAAACACCATATGATTTCACTTATATGTGGAAGATAAACTAACACGTGGATAAAGAGAACAGATTAGTGGTTACCAGAGGCAAAAAGGGTGCGGAGACACCAAAATGCATAAAGGGTCACATACGTATGGTGATGGATAAAAACTAGACTATTAGTGATGAGCACAATGCAGTCTATACAGAAACCGATATATATAATAACGTACACCTGAAATTATACAATGTTATAAACCGATATATAATAATGTACACCTGAAATTATACAATGTTATAAACCAATATGACCTAAGTAAAATAATTTAAAAAAAATTAATAGTCTCTATAACAGAGAGCTTGAAATGTCTTATGATTTAATTTTCTTCAAATTCTAGAAAATTGTTTTTATCTTTTCTTACCTATTTCAAAAATAGAAAAGACTGAAAAGCTAATATTTAGCAAAAAGGAACAGCAATCAGGCCATGATAGCTTCCTGAAGCTTATGGTCCAAAATATGTATTAAATTTATTTCTGTGTATCTCAGTTCACACAGAACTTATTTGTGCTATATTCGGCCTCCTTGTTCTTTCACTGTAGTAGATTTTTATTCTGAATTGTTATTTTCTATTTATTGGTATCAGGACCATAAAAAAAAGTGATCACTATGTAATGTACAAAATGAAAATCCTTGATTAAAATTTTTTTTTTTTTGTGAGGAAGATCAGCCCTGAGCTAACATCTATGCCAATCCTCCTCTTTTTGCTGAGGGAGACCGGCCCTGAGCTAACATCTATTGCCAATCCTACTCCTTTTTTTCCCTTTTTCTCTCCAAAGCCCCAGCAGATAGTTGTACGTCATAGTTGCACATCCTTCTAGTTGCTGTATACGGGATAACGCCTCAGCACGGCGGACAAGCGGTGCATTGGTGCATGCCAGGGATCCAAACCTGGGCCGCCAGTAGCAGAGCGCGCGCACTTAACCACTAAGCCACGGGGCTGGCCCCCACTTGATTAAAATTTAAATCAAAATTAACACATGTATTTGAAAACATTACATACTGTCTTCTTAAAAAAAAAGGCATCTAGATTGAGAAATAATTACTCAGCCAATGATACCAGCAAATCTCTTTTACAGATGTCAAAGTAACAACAAAACAAACTTACATGAACTAGCTGCAGAACAGAACTACAAAATCTCATAACTAGAAAGGATTTCCCAGTCCAACACTTTATATGAAAGAGGGCTAAAATACCTCTCAATGTCACAGACTGAATATCACAAAGCTAGAACTAAAACAGGCATTCTGACACTATACCCAGTTCTTTTTTTTTTTTTTTTT